GGGGGGGGTCTATCAAGGAGCTAGTGTTGTTTCGTTCTTTTTTGACCATCTCCAGTTACATGATAATTTGGCCGAGACCACTGTAATATTTACTTATAAATCGGTAGTCGTCATGCCTCTCATGGGAGTTTGACAGGGGCCACGTAAAAACGCATGTCCGACCCTAGGGAGCTGGCCTTTGGGATGTACCTCCCTTATTAATAGACGACAAAAAGAAGGTCACTTGTCCCTCATGTCGACTGATACAAAACCCGGTAAACCAACCAACCAATTTAGTCATGGCTAGGCTTAACCATGTAATCCGCTTGACAGCCATGTTGGATCATACATCGTACATACAAATACAGGGCGTGGGAAATGTTACATACTATGTTACGTAAATACCGACCACACATATTATTAACCAATCGAGAATGGAGAGGATAAGCTTTCTATTCAGGTTGTTATCTTTTATCATAAATTTGGGTAATATTTAATTCAGTGAATATATTAAGGTACTTACACACGTTTTAAAACCCGGAAGGAGCTAGTGTTGTTTCGTTCTATTATTTGGGCCGAGACACCATGTAATGGTTAAAAATATAGTCAATGATTGGGAGTCATGTTTAGATAATATTATTATACAATGCCGAAGTTAAACATGTCGTGTTTAAACAACCCAGTTTTATGTGAGAATACTTTTCATGACATTTAAACTGTAAAAGCTTTATTGGCTGCTGATATATTGGAGAATTTTTTTAATCAGAACCCTCGTTGACTCCAACATATTTCAACTATGCGTATTTTCTGCCGATATTGATCGTTTATCCCCAAATATTCGCCAAAATACCGGAAGTGTCCCTTCCAGGTTACAGTAACGCCGGTTCAACGGCCACGTAACTCTGGTTCATTCGCGTTCTTTTTATAGAACCACGCGCCCGAAATATCAAATTGTGATAAAAATAAAAAGTGGATTGTATCTGTTTATGAAAAACGAACAAACATTTTTGGAACTGATAGTATGAAGAACATTGATATTTATCTAAAAGTGTCCCGATTTGGGTACAGTGACGTTAGATAACCTGTGTGCCGATAGGACATTGTGTACCCACGGATGTCAGCTGCAGTGTTACTCTCGATGGAGCGTATCCATGGAGATAATTCCCCGGAAAATGATACCTAATTGTTTTCGTTTTTATTAAGTTTTTGTTCAATATTGAATAAATATTGCAATTACAATTGAAACTGTTTAGTTTTTATCAAGACAGGAAATACTTATAAGCAAATACATGCTGACGGTATAAAAAAAATCATGCAATTTTTGCATATATGTACGCAATCACAGGGTCTTGACACGTTCCTATGACCCAGAATGAAAGGTATTTTTTTCAGTCTGGGTCATAGGAATGTGTCAAGTCCCTGTGTACGAAACAGTCTAATATGGCAATTAATTGATATAGATATATATGTATGTCGTTTGAAACATTGACAAATATATTTAATATATATTTATACATTTGCATGTAAACGTTAGAAAAGTGAAGTGAATGAGTTGTCGAA